CGCAATCCAGTCATCTCGCTGGCGACGAGAGCATGATACTGTTCAAAGGGCGTTCGAGCATGAAACAGTACATGCCATGAAGCCTAAATCAAAAGGGGCTACAAAGTTTGGTCTCTCGCGGACTCCGAGACTGGTTATCTCCTGAAGTTCCAACTCTACGAAGGAAAGAGCGCACACAAGCCAGATGACGTAAACTTGGGTGAACATGTTTGTTTTGACCCTGACCGATGGCGCCGTGCCTGCTGGCTCACAGGTATTTTTTGACAATTTCTTTAGCTCTACGACATTACTTCAAGTGCTCGGGAAAAAAGACATTCTTGCTTGTGGTACATTTCGCGTCAACAAGAGGGATCTACCTCAAGTAGTCAAAGAAAATAACAAGCTCGAGAGAGGGTCCTACATTTGGCGAAGAAAGGCAGAGGTGGTCGCCTATCAATGGAGAGACTCAAAGAATGTGCACCTTATGTCAAACTACCATGACCCAGAAGACCGTGTGCAGGTGCATCGAACACTCCAAATGGCAAGAAAATGGCAGTTGAGTGCCCCTCTGTTGTGAAAGACTACAACACGTGGATGGGAGGTGTCGATAAATTCGACCAGAAGAGAAACGCCTACCCCGCCGACCGCCGATCAAAGCGCTGGTGGAGCCGCATATTTACTTCATGTTGGATGCAGCGGTAGTGAATGCTTTTATTCAAATGAGTTTTATAGAGCCTGTGGTTTATCTGCAGTTCCGCTTGATACTTGGTCGCCCAACTGGTTGCGCAAAACACCTTTAGAAGATCAAGCGTTACAATGCAAGCTCACCACAACAAAAGGGGAAAAAAACGGACGTGCTATGAGCGGCGTGCCCGACGAGCTTCGGTTTGCCGGAAATGGCCACCATCCGAAGTTCACCGGTAAAAGTCTGCGGTGCCGGTGGGCTCCACACAGATGAAAGAAGTTCGCAGCAAATACATCTGCATAATGTGCAATGTGCCCCTTTGTGTTGCGTGTTTCGGCCCGTTTCACTGCCGCCCATGATTTGCCTGAAGTGGATGTGGGACATACCGGTCCCACTTTGTGAATCTGCTGGATGTGGTCTGTGGGACATACCCTGTCCCACTTTTTTCTTTTTGTGAATGGTGATTTTAATTCCTGGTTTGTTTTTTGTCTAATAAAATCACGTCAGAAAAGGTGCTTGGTCTACCAGTGGTGCTTCCGACGTTTGTTCCATGCCTTAAACGTGTTCCCCTTGATGGGCTTGTGTGGTCGATGAGCAGTTTTCATTTGTACGAAAATTCGTGATGCCGACTTTTCCACGAGAGTCTGCAGGAGCCATTTCTGAGAAGTTTTCTTGAGTTCTTAGTCTTGTTTGCAGTCGCCTTGGAATTATCGGCCCTTTTCCTTTGCCTTGATGTGCGAGTTCCCGCTTTTGACTTAGACGCTTTCTTGGTCTTTTTTCTCTTAGATGAAATAAGATGTACGATCTGCATTTCCTTAATTAAACGCTGACGTATGCAGATTTCTCGAAGAGCATAGGTTAAGATTAGTACAACAGGCTTCCTTCAGCGTCCTCGTGGTCTTCCTTCCGTTTCATTTCGAGTGACTAGCTGGCTTTTTTTTTTTTTTTTTTTTGCTATCTGCCGGCCATTGTACACATTGCTGTGAAGACTTATTAGGATGGCAACCTGTCGTCTTCGGCGGGCACTTATCTTCAATATCTGGTGAATATTCTATCAGAAGTTCAAATGCGTTCTGATTTTTCTTCATACAAGTCTCTCCCACAAGGTACACCGGAGTAGCTGATTCTGTCTTGTCCTTCACTTCACGGGTGCAGCCGGTAGACGAGACTTCTAAAGTCGTGGAAGGGGTCTCTAGCCTATGAAGTTGTTCTGGCTTGCTGATCTCCGAGACTGTACTCTGTGCAGAGAGAAAGCTTGTATGTTTGTTTTCAGTCTGTTCATCTATTTGCCGTAAAGTCGACTTATCAAACGTCTGTGTGAGAAGATCCCTATTGAGGAAGAACTTGGTAGGTGTTAGTGCTATGGACGAGGAGCCAACTTTTTCTTTTGCTTCTGTTTTAATCCGCTCTTTTACCGATTCCAGATCAGCTTGCTGAGCTATCGAGTCCGCTTCTAAACGTTCAATGGGAACTTCATCTTCTAACTCCTTGTCAATTTCTCTGAAATTCTTATAGTCGTTATTCCAAATTCGGTAAAAACTCATCAACACTAATTGGTGGGCGATCCATTTGCCCACCGGCAGCCTCAGCAAAAGTCCTGCAGGCTGCAGGTGCAGTCGAGAAGCCATGAAAGTCCGCTCTGTCTCGCCTCTATAGGCCCTTTCTCCCGGGTTATACGGCGCCAAAATGATGTGGAGATAAGGACGAGCCGCCGTCCCCATGGTGAAGCCCACCATTGACCTCTTCTTTATTCCGTGTTTTGATCTGACCTTAACCTAATGATAATAGTGTCACTCGCCGTCTTCTACACAATATTCAACATACATAGTCTCGGTCTCATTTTTTTGTATACAGTTAAACCTCGTTATAACAAGACGGGCTATAAGGAAATAATGGATATAACAAGCAAATCCTAATTCCCCTTGAAAGTCCCCATACAAACCAATGTATTTAGAACCTCGTTTTAACGAGGCAAAATTTGCCTGTTATGGGATATAACGAACAAATTTTGTTAGGAAGTAAAATTTTGAGCTGATGTCACGACAGTGCACAACCAAATTTGAGACCGCACGCAACGCGAGAACTGTATTTAGCAGTTCTAATCTTACATACCCCCTTCCCCTTGAGTAACCGGTTCCTAGAGGGCAGCGCAAAAGAGCGCCCCCTTCTGCCCCTTCCTCTTCACAGTCACTTTCTCTGCAAGTCTTGTCGCTCGCCGACAGGAGCCGCATTGCTTTTGCATTCGTGTTTCTTCTCTTTTTCGACTGCTTCCGCCTTATCTTTTATCGTGCTGCGCTCGTGATTCCAGCAACATGAATGCACCAGGAGGGAAGCGAAAGCGCATAACGCTAGATCAGAAGGCGGCTATGATAACAGCCGTCGAATCGGGGACCAAGAAAGGCAACGTGGCAAGAGACTTTGGCGTATCGACGAGCACACTGTCAACCATCTTGAGCAAGAAGGAGTCCATCATTGACGCTGTTGCACGTGGCGTGAAAGGAAGCGCTAAGAGGATGAGGGCACCTGCCTTTGAAGCGGTCGAAAGGGCCGTTTTTAAATGGTTCTTGGACACGCGGGCCGTGAATCTGCCGGTGAGCGGCGCCTTGCTGCAAAGAAAAGCGAGAGACTTTGCCTGCATCATGGGCTATGACAACTTTGTAGCAAGTTCGGGTTGGCTCCAATGCTTCCAAGAGCGCCACGACACTGTCGGGAGAGCGGTCTGCGGCGAATCGCAATCTGTCGACGAAGCAGAGGCTACCAAGTGGGTGAAAGAAAACATTGTGCGGCTGCTAGAAAAATACAGCGCAGAGGATATTTTTCACGCGGACGAAACCGCTCTCTTTTTCGAGCTGTTGCCGCACAAGACGTTAGCCCTCAAAGGTGAGCCGTGCCATGGCGGCAAGCAAAGTAAGCTGCGGATCACTGCGCTACTTTGTGCAAACATGACCGACTCTGAGAAGCTGCCAATTCTCGTAATTGGCAAAAGTGCATCCCCTCGATGCTTTAAGGGGAAGAGGCAGCTCCCAGTCAAGTACGTAGCCAATCGCAAAGCCTGGATGACCAGGGAGATTTTTTCAAAATGGCTTTGCGAATGGGACGAGAAGCTGGCAAAGGCGAACCACAAGGTGTGCCTTGTTATAGATAACTGCACCACCCACCATACCGCTGCCGTGCTTGAAAACATCGAGCTGCTGTTCCTTCCTGCCAACTGCACAGCGAAAATACAGCCGCTTGACCAAGGCGTGATTATGTCGCTGAAGGCAGGTTACCGCAAGGGTGTGACAGACAAGCTCCTGCTCAACATGAGGATGAAGCGAGACATCGATGTTGACTTGTACGCTGCGCTCGAAATGCTTCAGGCGGCGTGGATGACTGTGACGGCGACCACGATCGCAAACTGCTTTCGACATGCCTCATTTGCCGCTGCACCAGACGCCAGCGATGAGCCATCAGACGAGCCCACTGTGCCGGACGGTTTTGCCACATCAGACGAAGTCGCTGCATCATGAACGACACTTCGTGACGCCGGTGTCGTGCCTGACAGCGAGTCGTTTTGCGACTAAGAGTGCGGAGTCGGCAACGGAGCAGCTCCTGGATGAAGATATTGTGCGCGCTGTCAGTGATCGTAACGAAACCAGTGACGATGACTCTGTCGACGAACAGGAGACAAACGTGCCGACGGCGTCGGAGGCATTAGGCGCGGTGGACGTACTGCGCCGCTACTTCGACGCTCACGAGGGCGGCGAAGATGGCTGGAACATTGCGGCCGCAGCTGAGCGAGCCATCGTTCGCATCAGGAAGATGCATCAACGTCCAATTATGAACTTCTTTGCAGCTAAGTCTGCCTGAAATGCAAGCTGTGTATTTTGAAGTGCATTAAAACAGGTGCATGACTTTTTCCTTTTTATTTGGGAATGCGGTTATTTTGTTGCATACCACCGTGCGGCGGGATGCTATTTCGCCCGCTATTTTTTTTGGGTAAGTACAGTGCATAATATTTGTGGTAAATGCCCGCTACGGCTATAACGAAATATTGGTTATAACAAGCAAATAGCGGCGGCCCTCCAATTTCGTTATAACGAGGTTTAACTGTATAACTTTTTAACCGCGCAAAGCACTGGGTGGGGGGGACGAGAGCCCTGTAGCGCCTTCAAGATTCATCACGTCTGTCTGCCTGCCTGCCGCTGCAAGTTCATTATTTTCTGCTTGTCTCTAGCTGAAATGAAGGTTGTGTCAACACATTTTAGCAATTTATCTCGGCAGTGAAAACTTGCTTCAGTATCGCTTTAAGGTAAATGCCACTAGTACACCTACTAACAGCTCGTGGCACACACACCTGTACAGCTCTGGCTGTGAGCTGGGAGCCAGGTGCAGCGGTTGGCCTATATGCTGCAGAGGGGACAGGTGCGGCCGGCCCAGAGTGGCGGCTGCCGACACGGGGGGCATCAGAGCGCTGCACTTGACAAGGCGCTCCCCTTCGAGGTAGCCATTGACGGCAGCAGGCCGCAGCTGCATGCTGCAGTCGTCGTCCACCTCCCGCTTTGGCGTCACCACCACATTCCCGCCCACTGGGTGGCACAGCAGTCTCTTTTTCTGGCTGCACAGGCTGCTGCTGCTGCTGCTGCAAGGATGATGTTTGCTTGTTCATTTCTGATCAGAGTGTTGGTTATATCATGACTGCATTTCGCTACTACAGCTGATTCTTGGACATGTAACAGTGAAATGAAAGAAAGAAATAAACTTTACTCAAAATGGAGGCATCCAGAGAAACTACTTTTTTTACGACGTGGACGCACTCATAAAAGCTTGGGTTCAAGTGCTGCCTGTAGGCGCAAGGTGACTGGGTGCACCATCATGATGACACGGCAGCGCGATTGGCTGGAGAAGAGTCCTTTGATAAGAGAAAAGCTACCTTTTTTTCTTGAGTTGTACACAAGTATACCATGATTCAATAAAAAGTACCAATAGTGTCCCCTATGTATTCCTTGGCTTCATTTTCCGGCAGCTTCAAATGGTCATATTTTGGTCACTATCCACAAGTACACCAACTCACTTTCTAAGCTCAATTAAAATGCAAGAAATCGAGCATTGCAAATGGGTGCAAGAAACGGAGAGTGCAAACAAGACTAACTGGTAAAGTAGGAGTATGAATGAAAGTGGCTACAAATGCAGACGAGCTTTGATCTGCGCAGACTAGCAAGTGCCATCAGCCTGAGCTGTGGCACGGTTCTGCAGCACACTTCAGGTGAGCTATGGTTTACATGCTGACCAGACTGAGACTTATCTCCAACACAAAACCACCCAATTTTAAAATGAAAATACTGCTGAGCACTTGCTCGTAACAAAATGCTACAGGAGAACCTGCCTACTTTTCTCATAATGGCACACCACTTGACTGAAAGTTCATCCCACTGCAGTACTTCATTGAATCGTCGTGCCGTAAATGGGCGCACAATAGAATTCCCTTTTCACAAACCTTCCTTCAACTTTGGTGCTGACGGAAAGTTTGCTGTCAATTGAAAAATGACAGCAAATTATTTAGGTTGCTCGTAACAGGTGCCAATAACTTCTTTAGGATTCAGTTCCCACTTAAAAAATTTTATTTGATAATTAAACGAGAAATGAGAGAAGCAGGTACACAAACTATGTATCTTTTCAGAAAGCACCCATACCTGATGGGCAGTGGGTCCCTTTGAGGCTCGGGCTTGATGGCCTTGGCCGTTAGCACACTGGTTGTGAAGTTGGGCAGGGCTCGGGCAGGGCTGTAGTGTCCCTCAGAGTCCGAGTCGGGCACCGTAATGCAGCTGGCCATGCGTGGACGCAGCGAGGACGAGTGGACGCCACTGCTGGTCACCACCTGGCCTCCTCCAGAGGACGACGATGATGGCAGCATCACTGCATGGGACTCAACGTCACGCCCACTGGCCAGCATTTCCAAGAGGCCATACCATAATCTACACGATTCTATTTAATTCGTTACTTAAAAGGATGTGGCAATTGGCCTTCTAATAATAATTATAACAACTGGAGTTTTATGCCCCAAATCAATAGTATAATTATGAAGGATGATGTAATGAAGGGCTCTGGAAACTTAAACTATCTATTGTTCTTTAATTATAATACTTTTGTGACTGAAAAATTTGAGTTTTTGGGTAGTTCGAGAAATCTCTTATCCTAGCACAGAAAGAAATTGGTGCTATAGTGTAGGACATAACAGTGCTAATATCAAACAACAGATTTAGTTGAAATATTATCTTGAAACTTACATAACAAAAAAATGCATAAAATACTGATGACAATTCCGTGCTACTCTGAATAAGATAAACATTACAAAATTTGGAATTTATGTTTTAAATGAAAAGCCCTCATAAAATATTAGTATGTAGGCACCGTAAGCACAAAGCTTTTTTAGATTCACGGACATTTAACCATTAGTGCCTATCATGCGAATATACGGGCCAGTTGCTCGATGTGGACAAACAGGTTGGCTCAGCAGCATACAAAACTGGGCCAGTTGGTTAAGCTTCACGATGTAAAAAACTAACGCAAAAAGACGACACACAAAAGAAGGAGGACACAGGACAGTGCTTGTCCTGTGTCCTCTTTTTTTTGTGTTTAGTCTTTTTGCGCAGTTTTTTTACATCATGAGGTTGGCTCAGTGGGTGTTGGCTTTTCAAAAATAAGCCATCTGTGCATACTTATTTATGTGGCTGCATCTCCCTCTCACAACTTCTATGATGACCAACAAGACAAAGAAGCCGCCACACAGTACTATACAGTGCTAGCTCAAGGTCCAGTCTGTGCCATGTTAATAGAGACAACTCCACTTTTTTTTTGCCCCAAGGGCCAAACGGCCTGCCCAAAATAAGTTCACACCTTCCTGCTAAGAGCAGGACCTTTATTAAGCATCAGATACATTTACATTACATGCGTCAGCGATTAAATGAACCGAAAAAAGAGCAAAACTTGCTATACTCAACGACAACTTATAGTGACAATGGAGCCAAGGCAGGGCTTCTGTACATTCGTGTTGCTCCCCAAGTAGTAGGGCAGCTTGCATCAAATTTCTGTTTTGCTCGCTCCCATCATTTACATGTTTAGAAAATCACATGCACGAAATATTGTCCAGTGTATAGTTTAGTGTGATATTACCATTGTTTTTCATGGAGAGCTAAACAGGTCGTTTGTGGCCATGCACTGACCCAACATCACTGGATGCCGCGTTTATTTTGAAAAACGGGCATGTCAAAATCGTGGTGTTGTCAAAGAAATGGGAACAAAAGGAAGGCGTTATGCAAAGTGAACAATAACCATCTTTTACCAATGACTTCCTGCAACTACACGAGTGTCATAATAAATGTAGAAGCATTTATTTCAACAAGGCCTGAGACAATTATCAGTAAATTTAGGTACTTTTCTGGGTGTGATATCAGGCATGCCAGTTCAGTTCTGTAGCTTCCGCAGTGCTGTAAAGAAAAGTTGTCACCAAGTACAGCAGATACCTGTTGATGTTCCAGGGTGGTTTGACACACTATTGACATCTGTGCTAAAGCTTGCAAAATCGAAGTAATATTCCATATTTATATTGCTACCATCATCAACATACCGATTAACCGGAATCAGTCAATGGCCTGACCGAAATCATCAGCGCTCACCTCCTTGAGAGCAAACAAGCTTTAAAAATCTCCCCATAGCAATAACAAACAAACAACCAAACAAGCAAGCAAGACTGATAAAAACATGCTCTTTTAGCCTTCGATGAGCATTAGCTGCCCAGAAGCACTTGGAAGACACCAGAATTTCAACTTGAAGTGATTGTTAGCACACTCACGATAGAAATAGGCATAGCCACGGAAGCGTTAATGTCCACTAACATTGCAATAGCACACTACACAGGTCTCTAGCACTCATTCATATGCAACCACTGTCGCCAAAAACGAAACCACAACCTTTGAATGAATGGTCTGAGCACCCTAACCACTTGACCACCGCAGTGGACAATTGGCTTTTCGCAGAAGAAATTATCGAGGGAGCTTGCCCTCGCAGCTTGTCAGCCACATGAGCGTTTCTCTTCAAAGTGGCAGATTTAAGCCTGTGCCTCTTTACATGTCATTGCGCTTGTGAATCATCTAGACAAATGCCTTCTTTCGCCTCTTTCCTCCACTTAGTGTAACAAACAAGCACATGTCTAGTCAACGTTCCTGCTTTTCCTTCAGTCTCCTCCGTGCACCAAATGTTTATAAATTTTGCTTCTACATAAATACATATGTGTAATTATGGCAAAAAAAGCAATCTGAACTCAGCTGCACTGGTGTCTGAGTAAAGCCATGCTGTATTTGCATATGTCCAAGGCTCCAAGCACGTCTACATATGCGTGGTTCCAAGGAAGACATAAGATCACCAAATCACTGGAAGTGTTTGCAAGCAGTGTGTGTTTCGGCAAGTTTGCTCCATCTAAGGATTAATTATGTCCGAGCAGTTTGTAATGCGTGGTTCTTTAAAAACTGTAATGGGTGGTTCTTTAAAAACTCACTCACTGCGCAATTCACATGTTTTGACACCTAATGTGATGCGTTAAATAAATTGATATATATGTCAGGTTTAACGTCCCAAAACCACCATATGAATATGAGAGATGTCGTAGTGGAAGGCTCCGAACATATTGACCACCTGGGGTTCTTTAACGTACACCCAAATGTGAGCACACGAGCCTACAACATTTCCACCTCCATCGGAAATGCAGCTGCCGCAGCTGGGATTCGATCCCGCGACCTGTGGGTCAGCAGACGAGTACCTTAGCCACTAGATTACCGCAGCGGGGCTTGTGTTAAATAGACTCTTTCCACTACATGGCATTCATATACAGTTAAACCTGGATGTAATGAAAAGAACAAATTTCCAGAAAAATTCGTTACAAAGAGGATTTCATTACACGCAGGTTAGGTGTGAAAATTAAAATAAAAATAAATGCACAAATTAAACAAAAGATGAACCAAAGGAAGAGCTAACCTAAAGCCCTTATTTGGCAGTAAAAGAAAATATATTAGTATTGTAATGGCAATTATATGGACACTCTCCGCAGATTTTTGTTGTCGCCACTATGTTCCATGACAAATATAAATTGATGACATGCCCCCACGCATTCTAACTTAAGGAGCGGCTAAAAAGCATACGAGCGAATGAAGTGGAAGCAGAGATCAAATGAGACGGCCCCTCCGTATCGCCTGGAGAGCGCATCTGATAACATCACCCGCGTGTTAGAACTGCTGTCAAATGTTCAAACTGAAATAAAATTCCCATTCTTGAATGAGCATGAAAAAAAGGGTAATAGAGGGTGGGGGGTCATTTGAGTAGCAGCGGTGAACATTGATTTTGAGGGCGCAATCGCGATCGCTGGCGAGCGTGCTATCTCGGCAAGCATCAGTGCGCTTTCAACACAAGGAGACTGAAAAGAGCACTTCTGCCTGGAGCAGCCATATTTAGTTACAACGTTTTGTAGGAGTTCCACAATATATTGGATCGAAAGAGTTGGCTGCCAGCCTTACTTCAATTTGTTGCAATTTGTTGCAATTACAATTTGTAATTTGTGCAATTACAATTTGTTGCAATCACATTCAGCGCATCATTTTCATTGCGTTGTCGTGTTGTTGCAAGAGCTATTCGCGAAGGCTATGATCCTGCGAACTCATGACGCGGTGCGAGAAGTAAGCGCGCGACAAGTCGCCCTACAAAGATCCGTCATTGTGACTGTGGAGTCTGAGCGTTTCTATCAGTGCCTAATCTGACATCCCCTTGGTGGCGACGACACGATTGTCCACATTACAAAAAAAAAAAAAAAAAAGGTGAGTATCGTCTGCGGCCACATCATGCGTGTGCATTTTAACCATGCAAGCGTGCAAAGCGGTAAAAACAAAAAGCAAGCGACGCATATACCATGAAAAGCTATTCGGTAAAGCCCCTTCCACATGCGGCGCAGCCGAACACATGTGACACTAAATAAAAGCGTCGCACTGCCAATGCAAAAGTCGTTTTTTTTTGTTTGGAGGGAGGGAGGGGAAGGGCACATCCGCCCGCAGAAGCAAGAACAGTGGCAACGCTGGCTGGAGGGGCGCAGGCCAGCTTACCCGCCTCGGGCACCCTCATGCACACCTGTGCGCAATGGAGCGCTCGCTCTCATCAGGAAGTCGCCAGCGCCACAAGTGCACCATGCGCACCACCATCCCTTTGCGCATCATTGGTGATGAGGTTACCATAAAAAATGCATGTTCATGCCAAAATGACAAAATTGGGGCGAAATTCTCACATTTACTGTGGCGAAAACTCGTTATATCAAGGATGTCTCCCGCTGTTACATTGTAACATAGGTCACAAATACATCTGCCTCTATGGAGAAACAGTGGAGGATATAAAAACTTCGTTGTATCGAGGAATTTGCTATATGAAAGTTTGTTGTAGACACGTTTAACTGTAGTGTTTTTTTTTTCTAAAGCAGTTTCAAGCAATGGTTTGTCTCTGTGGTAGAACTCCTTCCTGCCAAGGAGGAGGTTTGGGTTTGATCTTCAATGTACCGGGACCACAAGTTTTTATTATTAATTCTAATTGCAATTTTCTTAATTTTTCCATCACGGACACGACGGTTTTTTCGTTCAGAACGAACGATGCAGACACCGAATATCAACACTGCAACGACACCTATTTTTGCGAAATGGGCGCTTTAGCACTATTGCTTTGAAAGCAGAAGAAAAAGACTAGCTATTTTTGTGAAACGAGCGCTTTAGCATTATTGTGCTGAAAGCAGAAGAAAGACTAGCTGGTGCAGCAAGATGAGGGGGCAACAATGCAAGAAGCAAGACTGAAATGAAATTAGAAAGTGTATACGTAAGCTTGATGCAAATACTTGCAAAGATTGCACATGTGAGTCAAAAAAAGACAAACAAGGTCATTAAGCCAGAGGAAGCTGCAGTTCCACATTTTCTACTGCGAGAAGAGAGCATGCTACACGGAGGAAAGAGAGCAAGGAAGAAGCATGAACAGCAGTCCAACAGATAACTCCAAAGAAGTTCCATACTTTTGCACACAAAAGAACAACTTCACTTGTCAGCTACTCTGACTAATCCAAACTGATACCAGTGCCCGAAACAGGAAGTATGCTCACAAAAATTTTTTTTATCAAGAACACAATTTTCAACTGCCCAGAAATGTCGATATGCAATGAAATATCAGAGCTTCTTGCATGCCTTCACTCAAAACGAAGCCACCAGGAAGGAACCGGCCACCTTGCAAGCAGCAGTGGGAACTTCCACGGCTATCTCAACAAACTTCCGAGGATCTGCTTGGCTGAAAATCGGGGCCATGTCACTGAGACCCACCTGTGGAGCTTCCATGACGTTGGAAAACCGAGGCCAGCGGAGTGGCCTCTGAGCTGAGCTCAGAGATCAGTGGGGCGGCCCACGGACCCAGGGGCTGGCTCCAGCTGGAGCTGTCCACCTGGGTGCGTGCACGACTGCCGCAGCCTGCAGGGGAAGTGCATATAGCCACGGCACATCAGCCGCAACATCACAGTCACCATCCAAATATCCATCAGCCTCACCGACATGGCCACCAAGCATACTTGCAGCGCTTGCATATTCGGGGCTTTCAGCCGTATTGCCACAATCATACCACCACAGCCACCAGCCATGTTCTCATGGCCACGTCATCAGGGGCACCAGTCAATCTATTGTGTCAATACTGCCAACCTACCTATCGGGCCTTATCTGCTCAAAAAAGAAGACATTCCATAACCACAGTCACCAGCCATGTTGTCACAGCCATGTCATCGGAAGCATCAGTTAAACTCTTTTGTCTTTAATGCCGATCTTACTACATGGCCACGTCTTCAAAAAGAAAAGGACATTTTCATGGTCGTAAGTCTGGAATTCAGGGTAAAGACAGTACTCGCTAATTAAATACCAACATGTTTGTTACAGATCCCTAAATAGCCACATCGGCTATAGACCCAGATGCTTTTGCAAAAAATTTTTTTGTAAATCATTTCACTGAAGATAAAGCATTCTTCTTCTGTTACAACCATACCTTAAGTCATACAGTCCCAGTCTCGCTGTGACAGCCAATATGTCTTATCACAGCCTTATTGCCACAAATGCTTCATCAAAGCCACATATCTGTCAGTCATATGTTAACAGCATTAGCCTTGACATTTCATTTCTCAGATTTTGCTCTGATAAACGTGCATGGCTGGGAAGACATGCCAGGAAGAGTGAACCATGGTGACTTCCTTTCACCAGTAGCAGAGTTCAGGTGTCTCTGCATGAAAATACGCAACTGCAATTCTTACTAGCTGTAAACAGCACCTACCATGGTGTATCTTCACACAGCAGTGACAAAGTGTCTCTGGCAAGCAAGAAGTTTCCTTCCCTGTGGGTAAAGAACCGGACCACACCTTGCAGGAGAATCCCATGCTAGGTGCGCTTCCATTAGAGGAGAGTGTTGGCGTGATTGTCCAAGGTGTCGTAAGCTCCGACATTCAAGGTATGGCGCCACAAACTTCTGGCCTAGACCCTATGTTTGCTGTACTTCAAGGTCCTCAAGCCTGCACTTTTTTCAAATCCAAAGCAGGCTTCAAAACCCAAGTTAAAACGTTCTTCTTTTTCATAAATTTGACTATGTTGACATATTGCTTTTCTTAACAGGTGAAGAGTCAGCCTATAAAGTGGTCAAGACTTTCGGCAATTCTCATACAAACAAGTCACTAATTCCACCAGTTAATTTGGTCCTGTGCTTGCTGCTGCCAATTCATACCCGCAAGCTTCTTAATCTCATCTGCCCACCTAACCTTCTGTCTTCCTCTAACCCGCTTGCCTTCTCTGGCAATCCATTAAGTTTACCCTTACTAACCAGCGGTTATCCTATCTACGTGCTGCATGCCCGGCCCATGTCCATTTCTTCTTCTTGATTTCAACTATGATATCCTTAACCCCCACTTGTTCCCTAATCCATTCTGTTCTCTTCTTGTCTCTTAAGGTTACACCTACCATTTTTCTTTCCATTGCTCGCTGCGTCGTCCTCAATTTAAGCTGAACCCTCTTTGTAAATCTCCAGCCTACTGCTCCGTAGCCAAGTACCGGCAAGATACAGCTGTTATATACCTTCCTCTTGGGAGATAGTGGCAATCTACCTGTCATAATTTGAAAGTGCTTCCCGAATGGGCTCCACCCCATTCTTATTCTTCTAGTTACTTCAATTTCGTCGTTCGGCTCCGGGCTTATTACCTGCCCCAAGTAGACATAGTCTTTTACAACGTGAAGTGCACTCTTACCTATCTCGAAGTGCTGCTCCCTTCCGAGGTTGTTGTACATTACTTTTGTTATCTGCAGATTAATTTTAAGACCTACCTATCTGCTCTCCTTGTCTAACTATGTAATCATGAGCTGCAATTCGTCCCCTGAGTTACTCAGCAACGCAATGTCATCGGCGAAGCGCAGGTTACTAAGGTGCTCTTCATTAACTCTTATCCCTAACTGTTCCCATTCTAGGCCTCTGAAAACCTCCTGTAAGCACGCGGTAAAAAGCATTAGGGAGATTGTATCTTCCTGCCTTACGCCTTTCTTGATTGGTATTCTGTTGCTTTCTTTACGAAGCACTATGGTAGCAGTTGATCCCCTGTAGATTTCTTCCAGGATGTTTATATATGCTTTATCGACGCCCTGATTCCGCAGTGTCGGCATGACGGCTGATATTTCTACTGAATCAAACGCCTTCTCGTAATCTATGAAGGCTATGTATAGTGGTTGGTTATACTCTGAGCATTTCTCTATTACCTGATTGATAGTATGAATGTGGTCGATTGTTGAGTAGCCTGTTCGAAATCCTGCCTGTTCCTTTGGTTGATTGAATTCTAATGTTTTCTTTACTCTGTTAGCAATTACCTTTGTAAATAGCTTGTATACTACAGAGAGCAAGCTAATCGGCCTGTAATTCTTCAAGTCCTTGTCATCTCCTTTCTTATATATTAAAATAATGTTAGCGTTCTTCCAAGACTCTGGTACTCTTCCCGTCAGGAGACACTTCGTAAACAGAGTGGCTAGTTTTTCTAACACAATCTGTCCTCCATCTTTCAGCAGATCTGATGTTACCTGATCCTCACCAGCAGCTTTGCCTCTTTGCATGCTCTCCAAAGCTTTTCTGACCTCTTCTATCATTACTGGTGGGGTGTCATCTGGGTTACTGCTAGTTCTTATAGTATTAAGGTCGTGGTTGTCTCGGCTACTGTACAGATCTCTGTAAAACTCCTCCGCTATTTTAACTATCCTATCCATATTGGTAGTTATTTTGCCTTCTTTGTCCCTTAGTGCATACATCCGATTTTTGCCTATCCCAAGTTTCCTCTTCACTGCTTTGACACTTCCTCCGTTTTTCAGAGCGTGTTCAATTTTCTCCATGTTATACCTTCTTACATCGGATACCTTACGATGAACCCTATTATATCCCATTTAATACCCTCTAGCTCCTCGAATAGTACAGCTAGGCTTACCTCGCAAGATAAGGTTCTAGCATTAAACGTTGCCAGGTTCAGGTTCCAATGGCGGCCTGTCCGGATCCAGAGATTCTTAGCACCCTCTGCTGCATTGGAGATCTGACCGCCGCCGTGGTCAGTAGCTTCGCAGCTGCTGGGGACTGAGGGCTGTGAGCTAATTGACGTATGCATGTCGGGAAGTAGTGGCCAGATACTGCACCAGAGGGACCAGTCCTTCTCTGGTGAGGGAGTGCGTTACCGGCGGTGGTCACCGGTGAGGCCACACCCTAGGCCTCTTAATGCAGTTCCATCACCTCGTGGATTTTCCTATCCGATTGGGAACTGTGCGACACCGGGATTCGAACCACGGACCTTTTGCATGCGAGGCGGATGCTCTAACCACAATGCCATCGCGCCGCATTATATATATATATATATATATATATATATATAGACGTCTATAAAATATCATCAAACGCTGGAAAGAAGAAAAAAGACTGCTGCCTGGAGCGAGCGCGTGCTACTTCGCTTCTTCTAATAAACCGTATTCGTTCGAAGCAGTCCCTGGTCTCAATCGTCTTAATAACCGTGCCGTGAACCAGGATACTACCTCCTCGCCGGCAAGAAAGGTCAACCTGCCATGAAGCAGCAGAGAAGAAAACGACGGAGGAGCAGAGGATCGACCTGGATCGAGCGACGATACCACGGTGGACAGTCATTGTTAACCGCCTCAATATGAGCAAGGAACAGATAACAAAGAAAAGGGAAGGGCTTCGCTCCCAGATCACCCGACTGATTAACGCAGCCGAGCCGCAAATTAATGATAGAGCTAACCGGGAGCAGCTGCTTACAACGCAGGCGCAGATTAAAGCAATAAGCGGCAGTCTCAAGAGCGCGTACGAGCAAATGGAAAAGTTTCTGACAGAAGACAATGCCGAAGCTGAATTCAAAAGCGTCATAAAGTACGACATGAAATTAACGACGACCTTATCTGCAATAGAATTCAGGCTTCGACAGCCTGCACAATCGGATTCAAGCGATAGGACAAGGCAGGTGATGCCCTCAAGTACAGGAAAAAAAGCAACGGAACTAGTTAAGCTACCAAAGCTTGAAATGATAAAGTTTGGGGGAAAAGCTTTAGAGTGGAACCGCTTTTGGTCTCAGTACGAGCCGGCAGTTCACCTGAGACCGAACATGAGCAAGGGACAGAAGTTCATTTACTTGTTAGCATCACTAACCGGAAAAGCGGCGGCTGCTATTGAAGGACTTCGGTACTCGACAGAAAAAAATTATGATGACGCAATCAAAATACTGCAAAATGCGTTCGGCAATCGAGAACATTCTATTGAAATGCACATGAATGAGCTATTGAGTTTCGAGAAAGTGAGGTCTGTTCAAGATACCGATGACTTAAATAGGCTAGTAAAGAGAGTGCAAGTTAACATATTGGCACTCAAGTCACTAAAAGTGGAAACCGAGAGCTATGCGCCGATGTTGTTACCGGTATTGAAAAGAGCAATTCCACCAGAATTATCTGTGCAGTTCAAGTCAAAAGAGGCTATGAGAAACAGCTCAGCTTCAGAAAACGGCAAGCAAAACAACGCAATGGGAAAAGAGTGCGAGGAAAAGCTGGACAGGCTTATGTTATTCTTAAGAGAGCAAGCGGCTTTTCGTGAAGAAACACAACGTGAACAAGAGAGGATAACTGCAAAACCAAGAGAGAACCGCGGACATATGCGCACAACTTCAAGCTTCTATAGCTCAGCGGACAGAATATGCTTATTCTGCAAGCAGAAAACCCACGCAACCGAAAACTGTCGGAGCATTCCAATGGATCAAAAGAAAGCTATACTTACCGAAAATAGAGCATGCTTCAGATGCACGCGACCAAACCACACTGCACGCATTTGCAAGGCCCAAGTAAAATGCAAGCAATGCAAGGGACGACATGCCACGTCAGTGTGTAGAACGGTGATGCAGAAAACAAGGGCAGAGCTG